CTAGTACATTTGACTACAGGGTGTACATGTATGGCATTGGTCTTGGTGGGACTGTTTGAATTGATTGTTTCGCTCTATTTTAAGCTAATTTGAAATTTTTAAAAATTGCCTGCACATCAGCATCAAAATACCTTTCTAATGATATATAATTGTTTATACCTTAGGAGTATAGTTCAGCCGTAAAAGGGGTGTAAAGGAAACATGATTGCCTATTTATATAATTGATATACGTTTGTACATACATATAAAACTGATATCACTCACCTGGTCGTTTCTCCCATCGGAGGGAATGCATATAGAGGACATCCCAATGGACATCCCACGATACAACTTTTGTTCACCATTTTGCTTCTGAAAAGATGCAGACAAAAAATTATAACGACTGTGTTGAAATAAATGTGTTCATGCATATATACATATGTAAATGGCCTAATGAATTGTTTCTACACGGTACTACTTGAGCAAAATGTGTAGTTCAAGAAGAATATGTATATTTTATTAAAAATATTCAATTTCTCTATTGATAGAAAATCAGCCTTATCATGAGTTTCATTTTCCCCGAACCGGTTCACTTTTCACATTTGGTTTCCATGGTTTTACTATAGGCGGAAGACAAATTTTCGGGTGAATTTTTTTTCAGGCGTTTCACTTTTAAATTTTTTGACATAAACTGTGCTTAATCAAATATTTATTTTGGAAATTTTAATATTTTTTTAAGGAAATTTTATTTCATTAAAAAGTAAGTTGTAACACACGAGGTAAATATACTTACATGATTGTTCGTATTAAAAGAGCTTGATTTAAATTGCTATACATATAAGGCACACCAAAAATGTAGCATTAGCTTTAACATGATATATTATATGCAGTTGGTCCTTTAAGAAACTAAGTAGGATGTTGCTTTATTTCGGATTCTATGGAAGCATAAACTTCTTTGTGATAACGCATGGTGTATAGCTCCTTGCATCTGCTTGCATACATTAGTTTTATCATGCGTCTCTCATTTATACATTTGTATATTTACACTAGCAGACCCGGCGAACTCCGTCCCGCCCAAAATAAATTTTTTGTATTGAACCATTTTGGTCTAACATTTTCACCAACAGTTCACGTTCATGATTTTCGGTGACGCATTTATCTTCTAATATTACGGTTTGGTGGTTGTCAGAAGGCGTATTTCCATTGCCGTCTTAAATAACCTAGAAATCACGGGTGGTCATTGTACTTATAACAGATAAAATACTCACTCTACTCCTACTGGTATCGCGTTTCGCTCTAATTGGGCGCATCCGTTCTTCCGGTTGAAATCTTTCGCGGAAAAGTGCTCGAAACAAACAAACGATACCTTATACGTTACTATAGTAGATACTAAATAGTAAAGGACCCAAGATAGATCCTTGGGGAACACCACACTTCAAGGGCTTAATCTGCGAGGTTACCGACCCAATTTTCACTCGTTGAGACCGGCAACTTAAGTAGCTCTTCATGAGCGATAAAGCTGAGTCACCAAAACCGAAATAAAATTCGAGCTTGGAGCAAAGCAGTGAATGATCAACTGCGTCAAACGCTTTAGAAAAATCAAGCAAACATAAAAGAGATAATTCACCTTTGTCAAAAGAAACTCTCAAGTCGTTCTGCCATCAGCGACTCAAACACTTTCGATAATGAGGGAAGAACACTTATAGGACGGAAATCACTGGGGGAACAAGCAAGTTTACTTTTCGCAACCGGACAAACATAAGCGATTTTCGACGAATCGGGAAAGCAGGATGTGGTAACGCAGTGGTTAATTATGTGTTAAAGGGCTTATAATATAAGGGAGAATCAACTTTATAAACCGAACAGGTATGCCATCCTCTCCAACTGCGTTAGATTTAATGTTGAAAATGCATTTAGCCACATCCTAACATCACTAACAGCTAAGAACACGAAAGGAACACCAGAATAAATTGCAGTACTACAAGGGGAAAATTTAGATAGTGGAACAATAGACGATACATTGCTAAGAAACGCATCGTTCATGCTATCCACATCTAATACGCATTCTGATTTGTCTTTGGTCCAGACTCGGAGATTTTTGATATTGCGCCAAAAAGTTCCGGAGAACAGAGAGGGGTCAAGCTTGGAATGGAAGTACTTCTTCTTTTCACTTCTTACAATTTGTGTAGCTTTGTTTCTTGCCGTGCGAAAGATATCCCAATTAGTTTTACTACTATTTGATTTCCAACGAATTAGTTTTGCCATATCGAATTGGAATGTGAGCGTTAAAAGCGGACAGTAGGTTACAATTAAGAAATTCCAGTTTTTCATTAACGGTCGGAAGACACCAGCAGCTACGCCAATCGATGCTATCTAGATCCGAGAAAAGAGCATTTTTGTCACACGAACGAAAACCTCGATAACTTTAAAAATCTGAACCACCTCCAAGCGGCCTCGAACCTGCGATTTCAGAACCAGAACCAGTAGTCTTCACGTGACGCCACAGCCGAGATTTGTAAGAAAAGCAATTAATTGCGTCTTATTTTTGGCTTTGGCAATACAAAGGCAGATGTCGCTGATCGCCTGAGTTCTTCGAAATTGTCGAACTGGTAGGCACGTACTAGTTAATGAACTAGTATTTTTTCTGACTGGTTTTGCTTTTCACTGCAGGGTAAATATAAAGTAATTTATTGGCTCCTGTGTACAGTGATGTGTGCACTCATGTTAAATGAATCACGCTTTTATTTTTTATGAACTATAGTTTATTTATATACCTAAATATTGTTAAAAAAAACAAGTACTCTGGCGTTTTAAAGTATTATCTGTTACTTACATTCATAATTTTGCTTAGAATAAAAGTGTACTGAAAAATACGGATTTTTTAGCATGAAAAAGTCTAACGTACTGATTGCGCGCATAAAAAATCTGGCAACCCTATTAAAAACGTCAGCCAGTGAAATTTAATTTATAAAAAGCGACCGGCTTGCTCGATATAAATTACTGGCGTTTTTTTCTCGAAATAATGTTGCCCTGTTCTCCTCAGCCCTTTCACAGCTTTGCGTGTTAATTTCTCAAAATATTGCCCTCCGGCTAAGCAAAAGTGCAATACTTTCTACTAACATAGCCATTTTGCAGGACGAAAAGTAACCTTGTGCAAATGTTACCATATACGAAGGCAAAATGTTTCAATAGAAAATAAAACCACATAAGTTTGTAATTGATTTCTTTCTTTATTGAAGTAATACTGACATGACTTCTGATGTAAAGCTTATCTACGTATAATCTTTGTTAACCAAAAATTAATTAATCTTTTTACTTGCGATTTATTTAAATAAAACAAGTTAACTTCAGTTGAAATATTTTAGCCGTTTTCAGTATTTTTTTTGGCCAATCTAGCCGGCCGGCCCAAAAAGTTCTGGCAAACATTCAACGATAGCCAGAGCGCAAAAAATTTAATACGGTTATCGTTCGCGCACAAAATACATTAATGTGCGCCATCATCCGGTTCGAGTCCGGACTAGTCAGAATTAAGCAGATTTTACTGGATCCCGTACTCGGTTCCCTGACAATTGAGATGACAAAAAAGAGAGTAAATAAGGTCCTCTCTGTCAGAAATTACCAGTTGTAGTCCGAAGATTTTTTGCTGGTAAATGTCAAACGATCAGCTGTAGTGTGTTTGACAACCAAATTGTAAACAAAAAAACTGCACTATGCTATAGCATTTATGCTAATGCATGTTGAAAATTATTTAGTTATTTAAGTGGATTTGATTTTTGGTTATTTACAGGCAAAGTAATTAAAAATTGACAACTAAAACTTGGAGGTTATAATGAAGTTGTCAGAAGTTACCATTTTTTACTTGAAAGCCATCCCGTACTTTTCAGTGTTACACCCAGAAAAAAAATCGTGTTAAAACAACCAAATTTTAACCAATTTTGTGGTTATTATTTTTCAACGCGATATGTCATGTTATTTTCACATGAAGGAAATTTTTTAACATTTTTCCCTCTTGTTGACTTAACATTGGATAATTGTTAATTTAACATTGAAAGTGCTGTAAATTTAACCTGAAACATCGGTTTATTTTAACAAGGCATGTGGTTGGTTTCACAGGATATTCTACATGAAAATACTGGTTGAATCAACAGGAGTTGTTGTTAAAATAACACTACGTCTTCATGTTAAAAGAACCATATTTTAATGTTATTTTAATATGGCATCGTGTTACCTTGTGTCCCTACTTTTACAAAATAAATAACAATTTGTTTAGTTTATTTTTATTAAAAAAATTTAAATATATACACTGTTGACTTAAAAACTAAGTACTTATCTATTTATTACACAAAATTCATACACAAAAATTTCATATGTACATACATACATACACTATAGTGCGAAACTGAGTCCATGGTGATTTTTGTTGTACATGTGCAAGGTTTTTAAAGTTAAATTTTTTTTGTTACTTTTTTATGAAAACATGGTTTATGCTTTAACCAAAACTATATAAATCAAACTTTCAGTTTTTATGCAGAGCTTAGAAAAACTCAACAAATTTTTATAAAAATTGTGGACTTTTAAAAAACTTTCAAACATTTTTGGGTAGTTTTGTAGCCTGTTAAATTTTAGTATGATAAAGCGCAAGTTTTAAGCGGATAAAAAATTGCTGACGGCTTTTGCGGTTTTTTTTATACAACAAGTGCAATTTATAAAAACTGACAATGAAAAAGTTTTTAAAAATCAACGCGATTTTTTATCCGCTTACAACTTGCGCTTTATCAGACTAAAATTTAAGAGGCTATAAAACTGCATGCCCAAAAAAGTTTGAAAGTTTTAAAAGTCCACAATTTTTATAAAAATTTGTTGAGTTTTTCTAAGCTCTGCATAAAAACTGTATCAAATTTATCACGTTTGAAAAACATTGACCACATTTAGAGAAAGTGCAAACAAAATTTTTTATCTCAGCAAAAACATGGAAAGATTTCAAATGGTCAACTAACAATTGTGATGTAGAAGACCTTTCGTTACATATAAAGCATTTGAACATTTTATCAATCTACTCCAACAAGTTTTGAGTATCTTTTAAATAATTCTTAAGTGTAATAACATTAGGGTGTGCACAATCCGCAATGCCAAAAAAGTAGGATTCGATAAAATTATATATGGATTTCGCTTGTATCGGATATTCCAAATTTAATACATGAAAGATTTTAAATAAAGTATCAAGTGATTTTAAAAATGTCGGTACCTTGTAAATTATACTGTCGAAAATAACGTAAAAAGAGTCTAACTGAGTTAGTTTCTCTCCGACTACCAATAGTAGCGGCTGAAGAGGAAGATTCTTTTGATTTAACTTAATCTTTAATTCGTGTTACATCCTCTGATAATCGTTTATGCTGCTGCAATGCAGCAATGTCACTGCTTGCGCATCACATATTGATGGCTTCCATTTAAGCCGTTTTTCACCAGAAGTTTGTCCAACGGAAATTAATGACGGTTTAAGTATCGCATGCAAAAGCAGTGTCAATAAACAATCCATTGAGTCTGCATAAGAAAATAAAATAAATACTTGAAAAAATAGATATTAGACTTGTTGCTTTACCAGTACTGATGTTTTCGTCAATTTTTTTTAGCATATCAATGGACGTTGCATCTCTTATTTTTGTCTTCATGTAAGGTATAATTGACTTTCTAAATTTTGGCCATTCGTTTAGCAAATTCTGCGAACAGTTGGGAAATTTCGCTTCAAAATCAATTTCAACCTGCAGTATAATTGAAAATATACAAATTCCAAAGTTTTATATCATAAATAAGAAAATTTAAAATAGGTACAAATATAAAGCTAAACTTACCAAAGTGTATCCAAGACTGTGTTTCAGCAGCGGCCAATTAGTTAAAATATTTGCGTGTTCATTTAAAATCTCTGCGGTTCTTAATTTGACTGTGTTCGTCCATTTTTCTACAACATCGCCCCAAGGCTCTACATTATGACAAAGCCAATTTTTCATGGCTAAGTCATTTTCATCTGCTAATCGAAGGAAATATTAATCATGGTTTTTCCTTACATGTGTATGTACTTATTTTTGTATGTATGTACGTGTAGGTATTGCACCGTGCGACAAAAACAAAAAAATTTCGAAACCCACGAAGCAATCAATATACTCACGAAACTGTGGGCCAAATATAGTGGTATATACATACATACACGTACATAGATAAGTACGTTTTTGTAAAATTAAATTTACTATTGCTCGCCTGCTCCGACAAACTTGATTGAGTGGGTTGACATTTAGGTGCAAAGCTTAGTGCTCCTGTTTCTTTTTTTATTTTCCTTCGGATGTTTGTTGCCTTATCATAAAGTTTGCCTGTTGGATTTTTGCCATTTCGACGGTTGCAGTAATAGCGCTAAATAAAAGTAAAATAAATGCATTTAAGTGTTGAATATTTTTTTTTTAATATTCACAACGTTTTTCAAGCTAAATTTATTCTGTTATTTTTCTATAAAAATTGTATCCAAGCTTTAGCCAAAACCATATAAATCAGAGTTTCGAACTTTCTTCCACTTTTTATTTCGTAAGAAATTCATGCTTATAAGGAAAAAAGGGCAAAAATCTGTCAGCTAAAAAATTATTAAAAATCAGTGCTATTTTTTATCCGCTTGAAACTTGATCCTCCTTTACATATGTATTTACAAATTTTGATAGCAAGTGAATATGAAAATGCATACATACCATGTCTTCGTTGGGAAATAAAATTGTTATTTGCTCAGGAAAAGGTGGTGATATCTTTCATTGTCATAGGCACTGATCGCGCTGAGAAGTGGTCAACAATGGTATTTACCAAAATGTCACGACTAACATCTGACAGCACGGTCTTTTCTCTATATTGTTTAAAGATGCTTTGACCTCTTTCAGTGGCATTAAGTATTAACTTTAAATTCTTTGCTTCCATGTCTCTTATCGAGTCGTGAGACTCTTGGCTAGAATTTATCCAACTCTTGCATGATCCTATTGATGAAATGGTATCAGCCTTAAAATAAAAAAAGTATGCAAAGCTTATCATTGATGTGAAAATGATTTACTTACTTCATTCTGTCGCCAACGTGCAACTCTTTCTTTAAACTTTACTCTCGTTCCGAGCATTGATGCAGGGAAAAGTTCATTTATGTCCCCATCGTTGATGAAATACAGACTTTCTACATCCATTCCGCAATCTGTCAATAACATAAATATGCATATGGTTCCTCGCAGATTCTCAAAGAACTTACCGAGAATTCTTTGATAAACTTCTTCACTGAAGTTCATTTTACCACATACGACGTCTTTCAAATTTTCTTTTTCACGTGAAGCTTCAGTGGCTTGGCTTTGCTGCAGTGAAGTCTCAACTTCATTCCCCATGGTTAAATCACCATCAACAACGAAATATATGCCCGCCGATTCCCCAAAGACATTTTCTGTACCCATTCTTCTTAATATTTAAATAGCTTTTTTTAATAATCTTTCACAAATAATACACCAAATAAAAATGCAACCGAATGACGAAGAACGCGCACGCAAATAAAATATTACGGTACTTTTATGTTCTCTAACCACATACCCTGTAAAATTCACAATAGCTCATGTCAAAACAAACAGAAATCATGTTGCCAGACCTTTTTAACATCAACTAAATGTAAATTTAACACTTTATGTGTTTGAATCAACATTATTTAAAAAAACCCTCATGTAAATTTTACAATAACTCAGGTTGCAACAAACAGGAATCACGTTGCCATATATTTTTAACACTATTCACATGTAAATTTAACACTATATCTTGGTAAATTAACCAAAAATACTTCATGTTACTCTTAACACTTTTTTCCTGTTAAAAATATCATGTTAAAATGGAAAAATTGTTGTTGTTTCGTGTGTACAACTGTTTCATGTGAATTTAACATGGATCGTGTTACTTAAAAATCGAGGATATTTTTCTGGGTGTACTCTCTCGCCCTGATCGAATTTTTTTTTACAGTTTTACTAGTTTTAGTCCGAGGTATACGGGATTGGACCTATTTTGTAAAAGAATGTCCCCGAAGCGGTAAGATTGAGCTGAACTACATGCCAAGTGCAGATAAGTATGACGGCAGATGTCTTTACTAAAGGCACAGTATACCAGTAGAAAAGGTTTTTGTTGTTGTAACTGTTTCGTGGTTAAAGTCCTTTATGGGGATAAACTTTCGACATAAGAAGTTAAGCGCGTGGTTGCTTACGAATGGTCAAAGAACCAATATTAGCAAATATTGAAAAAAGGCGTGTGTAGCACCGTACACATGATAGAACTGAAACTTCTTAAAAAAGGTGTGAGTACCAGGTACTCGCGAAATTTGATGTATAAACATATGTTTACGGCTCGGCAAACCATTAGGCGATTGAGTTACATACATAGATTTGGTTAGAAATTAAACAATGATTTCATTTCATTTTTTTCATTGACTAAAAATGTTCACATTTCACACAGATTTTTTTTTTAAAGCATAATGAACCATATTTTTGCTATTACCAATCAGAATTCTAAAAAAGGAGATTTTCGGCCCACGTTTACCTACAGCCAAAGTTATGTAAACGTACATTTCTTATAATCATTCAAACAAATTTAAATTCCAATTGAAAACACATTTCTTTGAAAATAATTTAAATCTCACACACGAAAGAACCAAAATGATTGAAAAATCGTGATACTTTTTTCTTTCGTAAGTCGATTTTATAACCGGTTCAGAACTATAGAATTTAGATCTAGTTCGGAACTATCGAAAAAAGGATGCAGCGGGGGGCAATTGACACTTCCTAGGGATTCACCATGTTAAATATCGCGAACCAGTACTGGGTCTAAATCTATTAGAAGCGCACCAGTTCAGAACTAGAGATTATCCCCACAGGGGAATGACTGCCATTTGATCGATCAAGTCTGCGTTCAGACCAGTGTTGCCATTTTAGCCGTTTTCCGGCTAGATTTAGCCGGTTGCGACAGCAAACAGCCGGAGAAGTTTCGATTTAGCCGGCAGCCGATTTGTTAGCCGTTTTGCAGAAAAAAATTAGCCGTTTTTAGCCGATTTTGCTATTTGCCTTGTTTTCTTAAATTTCAAATATGCATATATGTTTCCATTTTTGACTAAGCGACCCCAAATTTTCATGTCAGGCAGGATTATATGAAATTGGGCCGATTTCGCTTATTTTTATTTTAAACGAANGTACCTTTCAAATCATTGGAATTAACTAAATTAATTAAGTAAACAAGTATTAACTTACATTTTTCATTTTAAAATCGCTCCAGTTTGTAAATTTTTAAATTTAACGAACTTGTTTATTCAAATTATCGTCGACAAAAAATCCAACCATGTGTCACAATCATATATTTTTCCTAATTGCAAATTCTTGCTGGCAAAATTTTTTCCGACTCGAATTTGTGACTTATCTCCAAGAAATAGTCTTTTTACTCGTGATTTATTTAAGTAAAACATGTGAAATTTAGTTGAAACATTTTAGCCGTTTTTAGCCGGATTTATTTGCTAATTTAGCCGGTTCATCCAAAAACTTATGGCAACACTGGTTCAGACATGGAAACTCGAGTTGCTTATTATCGGCAATTTCACTTTTGGTGTTGCCCTTTGCATTCACATACATCAACTCTTTTGTTCGCAATTGTTGTTGTCAGCTGTGGACCGCCAACTTGAATTACTCAGACGAACGAGAGCACAAAGCGTGTTGTCCGAGTTCGAGCAATTCGTCGCTCTCTCCGCTACAAGCTTCGAGTTGACGCAACAAAAGTTTCCGTGTCTGAATATCGACCAAATGAGTCGATAGAAGTAACGTTAGTTGTTTGCCATAGTAACCGCAAGATTCACTAGGGCTGCATTTTGTGCTCAACAAAATAGTTGTACCTGCCAAATAATACTGAAGTACTTGGGTATAATTTTGAACTTAACTAGTTTAGACGATAATTTTACCATTTATTCGACCCCGTTCATACCAAAAGTAAGTCAAAATAATAGTTTTTATAGCGGTATGACAATTTTTTTATATATATTTATTTTTATTTATTTTTATATTTATATATTTACTGGCACAGCACCCGACGTCGTCCGGGGTAAACAAATCAAAATATAAAACAGTAATACAAATAATCAGTTCAGCATAAATTAGAGGAGAAGAACTATTTTCTTTCTGTTTAAATTAAGGCATCCTTATCAGCCATATTTTAAGCTTTATCGTACTTCAACTAATATATATTGATCATCACTTTCTGTACTACAAATCTTGTTCCATTATTAATATTAGGTGGATTGAGGTAACGATAGAATTTTTAAATTAGGTTACTACGGTACATTCCGTTAAGCTGCCTATTCACTTAGCTGCGTTGGTATAGCTGTACTTTTTCGGTAGAATGCTTATTTCGGAAGAAGTTTTATTCATTATGAATGAACATTGTCGTTTAACAGCATCGCGGGATCAAAGAAACGATTGAGTCTTTCCATTTCGAAATGATCTAAAGAATGTAAGGTTTCAAAAAAACACAGTTTTAAATATCCGAGTGATATAATAGTGATGTATATATTCCCCTTTTATAAACTCATTTATAAATACTTTACACTAAACACCTCCCATGTATGTGTCTGCATACCAAATTTCGATTTCATGTGACTTATGGTCTTGAAGTTAGAGCTAACAAAAATTTCCACGTCTATGGGATTACAAACTCATTTATATATCCCTCATTTATATATCCCTTTTTATAAGCATTAGCCATAGCTATACCTGCATATCAAAATTTCGTTCGTGGGGCTTATGGTTCGGAAGTTGTAGCTGATCAAAATTTCCACGCCTATGGGATGTACCACACCCCACTTTTACAAATTTATGTATTTATAGTCTATTATAAGCACTTACCATAGCTATGCCAAAATTAAAGTTCATGTGACTTATCGCTTCGAAGTTATGGCTGATAAAAAATTCCACACCTACGGAATGTATCCTTTTACAAAACTCCTTCATATATACCTTACTATAAGCACCTAGCGTAGACATGTCTGTATATCAAATTTCAAGTTCATGTGACTAATGGTTTCGAAGTTATAGCTCATAAAAAATTCCACGCCTATGGGATGTGCCACACTCCATTTAACAAAATCATTAATATATACCTTATTATAAGCACCAACCATAGATATGTCTGAATACCAAATTTCAAGTTCTTGGGACTTATGGTTCCGAAGGTATAGCTGAAAAGAGGTCCCCGCCGATGGGATGTGCCACGCCCTCTTTCATAAACCCATTCATATACATAGATATGTCCGCATACCAAATTTCAAGTTCATATGACCTATGTTTCCGAAGTTATAGCTGATAGAAATTTTCAAGCCTATGGGATGTGCCATGCCCCTTTTTACAAAC